TGGCCCTGAAGAGCAGTTTTGTGCCTTTTTCTCGGAAGGACTATGTTGGAGGAATATCACAGCATATTCCAGATACCTGAGTATTGAGGATATTTGTCAAGGTGGAAGTCCTTTAAATTTTGGTGTTTACTTTCATCCTCTGGCACACATGTCTGCCATGTGTAGGGTGTCTGCATCTTCCTGTCCTTCAGGTCTAATCAATATGATGTTCTTGAGATTCCAACATAGTCAAGATCCCTGAATAATGGATTATGATTGGACTGGTGAGTTGATAAAGCCCTGAGAGGACAGAGGTGCACTGCTGGCCCTGTCAGGTGAAAACTGACTGCATATAGTAGTTTTTGTTCATTGATAAAGAGAAAGAAACATTTGCCAGGTCCTTGGCTGCGTCACAAGTGCTGGATACTGTATGGATTTGCTACATTGGACAGAAGCCACATGTGACACAGCAGCTAAAATTATTAGCTTATAATACTTGACAGTCATTCTTCAAGAACTGTCTTCTGCACAAGTCAAGTAAACAAGCTAAACAGTGACCTCAGATGACCTCACCCTGCAACCTACCTAGTCTTCAGTGACAGCAGTTACCTGGAGATGCAGAATTATTTTTGGTTGACAGTGCTGAAAGCAAAATACTTGGCATTTCAAGTTGACTCTTCCCACTGTAGTAGCCTTTACTTTGGGCTAGTAAACAAAATTTGGTTATTCTATCAGTTTCCTAGCTGCTTATTCTTTTTTGTTTATTTTTCATCTAGGTTGTTTATTTTTCATCTAGGTTGTAATCCCCGTGCGTCACCACTACAGTCCTGTGCACTCTTCCCGCCCCAGTTTTTATCCTATTTCCCTCTCCACTCCTATATAATGTCTCTGGTTTATAGTTCTTTGTTGGTTTTCTTTTCTTTTTTTTTAAGATTTATTTATTTGTGCATACAGAACTGGAGTATAGGCCAGAGGTGCAGGTGCGGTGAGAGGATTCACCAGAGACAGCGTGGGGAGCAGAACAAGCAGATTGACGAAGTACACTGCTGAGGGGAGCAGCGGGCAGGTCAGGAGGCGGGTCAGGAGAGGTCTGCTATGCCATGTGGGTCACCTCCCTAGCCGGGGCTTGAACTGGTGATACAGTGGCTGCAACAGCTTCATAGTGCTGTGCTTTAACCCATTGTGCTACCAGGGAGAGCCCTGATTTTCATTTCACTTTATTACAATTGCTTTTTTTTTTCCTAATCCCTTATACTCCTGCTATGAATGAAACCATCCAGTATTTTTCAGGGATCATTTCTATAGTTTGTTACCAGTCTTCTTACTCTAATTGTACATCTATAAACTGAGGAGATAACTAAAAGGAGGTTTATGGCTTCATTTGGGGATCCATTCACAAGCTAAACTGTCACTCTTCTATATGACCATCATAATCCCCTTAGTTAGAGCGACTCAGAACTAAGCCCATTCCCATCATTGTATTCATCATCACTGAATATGTTTATCATATCTAGACATTAGCACCAACTTGCAGGTAATGACTAGTAATCCTCAAAAGGCCTAGTCCAGCATCCTTCAGTAGAATGTCTGCACATTGGAAATGTCCTATATCTGCATTGTCCAGTATGTTCACCACTAGTCAGATTGAGCACTTGAAATGTGTTCATGTGGGCCCTCCCTGGTGGTGCAGTGGATTAAAGCACAGCACTGAGAAGCTAAAACCACTTCAGCATGAGTTTGATCCCCACCCCAGAGGTGACCACATGGCGTGGCAGACCTCTCCTGACCTGCACACTGCTCCCCCCTCAGCAGTGTGCTTCGTCGATCTGCCTGTTCTGCTCCCCACTCTGTCTCTGGTGAAGCCTCTCACCGCCCCTGCACCTCTGGCCTATACTCCAGTGCTCTATGCACAAATAAATAAATCTTTTTTTTTTTTTTTTAAGTGACTCTTGTAGCTTGAGGAGCCACACTCGTATAATTGGTTTCCAATAGCCTGGAAACTAAATGGCAGGTATTGACTCTCTTTTGAGTAACTCAAGTGCTTTTTTTCCCCTCATGATGTTAGAGTATTTTGGCTATGTACACCACTAACAATTCTAAATCTTCCTAACTTATAAAAACTAAAGTTATTTGCAAGGCCAGCACTTAGTTCATACATCTCCCGAAATTTAAATCTCTCAATACTCTGACTTAAAGCATGGGCAGTTTAGCAGGGCTCCCTTTCTCTGGCACACCCTGAATGCTGACTTTTTTGTCCCTAGACTAGCAAGGGTGTCAGGAATTCTGCTCAGCTCCTTACGCTGTCTGTCTCAGCAGATGTTACATGAACCCTTTTGGATTTCCTCCTCCTTCTAAATCTTGGCCCTTAAACTTTCACAGTTTGTTAGTTCCCAGATGCCTTAAAGAAGATTGCTTTTAATATATATATTTTGTCTGGATTTTCTAGTTTATACTCTGGGGAGAGCTGGTGCATATTATTTAGTCTGCAGTACCATAAACCTTTCCATTTATTTTGGCCAGGGGCCATGGGGCACCTCTGTACAGAACCGTTTTAAACTAAACTAGCTAGATATTTCCTCTGACTATTGTTGGCAAGAGGACTCGTCTGCCTTCCCCGGCCCCACACCTTCTCTGCTTCCCCCTGGCTGTGTGATGAGGGGAATGGGCTCAGCTCTGGTTCACTCTGGCCAAGGCTATATCTCTTCAGGATCTGGACTTCATGTCGGGGCTCTCTGATTTGATGCCCCATCTCTGGTCTTGACAAGATCAGCAAAAGTCGCTTCTTGTGCCCAGCTTCTGTCTCCCGTTTTTTGATTGTGGTATGCTGCTTCCTTACTGCCTCCACACCTCTTGCAGGCTTTAAGGGAGGGATTTTTTTCTTTATACATTTTGATTATCCATGTACTTTTTTTCATTGGAAAGCCTCACTACATAGAAGTAGGTAAGTCTGCTCTACTCTGCCCCGCCATTTCCTTCCCTGTAAGATAGGGAGAGTAAATGTACTTCTACTTACAACAGAACATCAACTGAAATCATTCATTGTCCTCTGAAAGTCGCTACTCCAGACAAGTGCTGTGTTATTTTCTTCCCCTTCATCTGTTTACACTCAGTATGTGCTGAGGATTCCTTCTTTTCTCCCAGCCTCTTAAATGTTGGTGGTCCCAGTTGTCGACTCTCAATCCACTGGCTTTCTTAATGTTTATACTATTTTTTTGGAGTGGGGGGGGGGTGATCTCTCTTCCCAAGTCTTGCTTATTCTCTATCTCTCATCTGTCTTCTTAACTCTACACCCATATACCCAACTTATACCAAACTTGTGCCAAAATGCCCACTTCTGTGTCCCTGGCCTCAGGGGCAGGCCCTGCTCTCCACCCACCTTACAGCTGTGCGGGAGACAGCTGGGTGGTGTGGGCCTAATCCTTTCCTCCCTCCCCAACCCCCCACCCACGCATCAATTCACCAAGTGTCCTGAATTCTGCTTCCTAAATTGAGGGGAATGGGCTAGTCTAAGTCTCCAGTTTCTCATTCTTCTTATCATCTGCCAGAGGGATGTTTCCACACCATATATCAGGTTCTGTCACATCCTGCTTAAAGTCCCTCAGCAGCTTTCCATCATTCTAAAGATAAAGGCCATTACCCTTGAGCCCAAGACTTTTCGTGACCTGTCTCTGCCTACTTCTCTGTCCTCTTTCCTCTTTGTTTTTTCCATTTCTCTCTCTCTCTCTCTCTCCTATTCTGAACTATTTGCATCTCATTAAAGATGTATGGCAATAGTATCTCCACGTGAGTGGTTAAGGGAATCATATTTGGCCTAACACCATCTCTGGATGCTTCTCTCACTTGCTTTGGCTGACATCTGACACTTTGGCCCTCCCATCAGACCTGATACTCCTCCCCTCCCTCTGTCCCCACACCCCAGGCTTGACCAGCACAGAGCAGAGGGGGATTGTTCGCTTTTTTCTTCCTAAGCACTATTCCTAATAAAGCCACCTAAAGGAGCACTAATTTCTTACAGCCGCATAACCAGGCCTTCTTTGCCCATGCAAGTTAAACCATGTCTTCCTCATTCTTTTGGGGGCGGGGGGCTTCTGTCTCATCACAGAAGTTGATCTGACATTTGAACAGACCTCAGAGCTTTCTAAATTTCATCTTGTTTGCTGCAGCCCCTGGTTCAGTCTATTGAGCTATATTTTTAGCCTGATTCAAAGTCTAGTTAGTGTAAAGCGCAAAAAACCTTTTTATCACAGAGACAGAGAAACTGACTGGGCCCGACACCAGCTAGAAGCCACACATCAAGCAAAGCAGCAACTGCCCTAGACTCCCAGCCCAGGGCTCCTGACCCCACCCCCAGGGGCACGAATTCCCATTAATGCAGCCATTCTCTTAGTTTCTCAACAGTAAAGTCTGTCAGATTTTAAATGATGTTAATTCCTTTTGCCAGAAGTTGTAATAAAAATAGCACCACTCCTAAGAGCTGGAAACCTCAGCCTCTCCACGTCCATTTCCATCGTCTGGCTTAGTAGGTCCTGGCACGGGTGGACAGGTAGTTACACACAAAGAAATTGTCGAGGGCCCCCTGCCACTCAAAGGGCTGCTCACCTCAAACTGCCCTGGGGAGGGCTTAGTGGCAGAGCCTCATGCTTTCTCTGAAGCCTGGCATTTTGTCCTCCTTACCTACCTATGACTGCCCCTAGCAACTAAATCTTAGAGACAAATGAAATTTTTCTGTTACAATTCGGGTGAAACTTATAAAAGGCAGAGCAGTGTTAACTGGCCGCCCCATTTCGGTCTCTCTGAGCCCACTAGGGTGTGCAGTCTCTTTCCAGGAAAAGAGTCAGTAAGGTTGGGGAGAGGGGCCGCTTGAGGGGGAGACTGCCCCTCTCTGCAGGGTCTTCTTTGGGGCACTAGAGAAGTTCCCAAGCTGGTCAGCCACAGTACTGACTCCCTGCCCCCGTTTGTTCCAGCGATGGTGGAGCTTGTCCTCTGCCCTTGCTCATCACCCAAGATTCTTTGTACCACAGGGAATCATCGGCAACACCCGTGGCAAGCAAGAGCTACATCCTGAGGTTCCCAGCGCTGGAGACGCTAATGCTGGATGACAACAGACTCTCCAATCCCAACTGCTTTGCCAGCCTGGCGGGGCTCCGGAGGTAGGGCCCCAGGCGCTCCCCGCAGTGGCCTCTGTAGTCCCCAGCAGAGCTCACACCCTGAGTATTACAGAAGCCAAAAAGCCCAGACTGACAATAAAGCCCAACCCCACCACTTACTTCTGTTGTGTGGCCCCGGGTGAGGCCTTTCTCCCCTCTGAGAAGGACATTTCCGATCATGTGACTAGAGAAAGGAAGGTAGGCAGAGATGCTGCTGGACTCAGGACCCAGACTGAGAGGAAAGACCATAATGAATAAAAAGAGGGAGACAGAGAAGTTCAACTGTTGGGTTCTACCGATTTGGTTGAAGTAAGAAAATGCTGGCATTTTAGTGATTAAACGTTAGATCCATGGATAATTTACCTTGATTCAGATCCCATTTACTGAATACCCCTCTATGCCAGATTATTTACATATTGTCTCACTCACAAGGACCTTAAAAGGTTAATAAATACTATCCCCATTTTACAAATAGGGATATTGAGGCCCAGAGAGGTTAAATCACTGGCTCAAGGTCACATAAGAAGAGTAAGTGTCCAAACCTGATTCTGTTTTCTTTTTCCTAAAGTTGGTTGGTAAATGTCCTTGACGTATTACTGCTGTGATTCTGTATTCACTTTCCTTAATTAAAGACTGAAGAAGTTAAGCCTGGACCAAAACAGGATTTCCAGGATCCCGTACCTACAGCAGGTTCAGCTCCGCGAAGGGTCTGCAGACTGGGTTGGAGGCAGGGGAAGTCCCCGGAAGGACTCCCCATCCGCACTGCCTCCCAAGCCGTGGATGTTTGAGCCTTCGGATGAGCAACCAGACTATACCATACTGCCCATGAAAAAGGATGTGGACCGGACAGGTGAGCGATGTCCCTCCCCAGAAACTTTGGCTCTCCCGATGAGAGCAGATTTCTGAGTTTATTCCGAGCCAGTGGCTCCCTGCTGAGCTGCTGCATTTAAGCTGCTGGGGATGGGGCTGGGGTCTCACAAGGACCATTTCAATGGTTCTATCAGTCAAGGTGCCTTTAAAATCTGCTTCAAAGGCTATGCAAGTGTCCTTTCCTCTCCTGTCTCTTTTCTAATAAACTCTTTAAATATAAAAAAAAAAAATCTGCTTCACAGTGAATTTCTCTTCTTTTTCCTCTCAACTAATAAGAAACTCAGACAAGGCTTTCCAGAGAAGGTTAACACCGGGACATTGATGTTCTCCAGAGACTTCTTACATCCTCTTTTCTGCCCATGTTGATCTGTTTCCTTGTCATCTTAAATTGATCCCCATGGAGACCCCCACTCACACTGGTAGTACCTTAGGGTGTCTGATTCTCTACAAGTCTGTCATCACTTGCTTGGTATCATCCAGTTTTCCAAGTTTTCTAATTTTTTAGTCTTGGTAGGTGTAAAGTGACATTTCGTTGTTTTAATTTTTTCTAATTAATTTTCATTTTTCTAATTTCTGGTGATGTTAAACATTTCTTCATTTCCACAGCCATAATAAATAAAGTTTTCAGTTTCTGTGGTTTTCAGTTTCTGTGAATCTCCATTCATGTGTCTTGAAAGTTTTAATGTTTTAAATATCTTCTGCCATTACCTGTCTGCTAAGTTTACACATTTACATACATATATATATATTAGTATAGATGTCGTTTCAAGGGCAATTTCTAACATTGATTTAGCGCAGTGTATTGGTTTGCTAGGGCTGCCATAACAAAATACCACAAGTGGGGTGACTCAAATAACAGAAATTTATTTTCTCACTATTCTGGAGACCAGAAGTTCAAAATCAGACTCTAGGTCTTCTTGTTCTTCTTCTTCTTCTTTTTCTATTTCATGTGTTTTTTTTTTCCACTGTGTTAATTTCCCTCAAATATTTGGAATTCTTGATTGTCCATCTTTTTGTTGACTAATCAATCAGAACCTTAGAATCTAGGCTCTGATCTGCAACTTTTTCCTGAGATTGTGGGGAAGGGCAAGATGTGCATTCAGGTAGAATGCTGTCCCTCATCTTTCTGGAGGTGGGGGCTTTTTGCCTCCCCAGGAGATTGCTACTCGGCACCCACATGTGCTATTCCACTGCTATTTCTGTTTCCTTCATTTTCATGTAATCTTTGTCAGTATACAGTATCATTATCCCGCTAGCTGGAGCAAAGCATGGGACCCAATCCCAGCATATGTTTTGCTTTACTACCTTGAACGCAGCGGTTTATCGGCTCATCTCACCTCCATGGTCCTAAGAGTGAAATCATTCTACAGCCTTTTTCTTACTACCACACTACTGTTACAGGGCAACCCAAAGTGAACTGGGTTTCCTGTCTGTGGGTCCTCACCTGTGCACTTGAGATTCAGCTGCACTGCAGACACACACAAAAAGGTCACTAATGGGTTTATTTACAAGGGGAAACGAAAAGGAACAACCCAGGGAAAGAGAGAGAGAAAGGTACAGGTTAGCTAATGCGTGCTACCACTTACGAAGACTTGGAACCCCAGTAGTACACTGAAAGCAGGTCAAGAGCCACGGACCAGCCGCCAGCCCTGAGGCCACGGGACGGAGAGCCTCAGCACTACAGCTCCGCCTTTTATAGCCCAAAAAGTCTCAAACCGGCTGCTTAGCTCTGCCCTTGGGTCCTCGCAGTCCTCCCTTTGGTGTTGCTGGGAGTTGTAGTTTCAGTGACTATTCTCGGTGGCTAGCCTCAATTCAGTGTCTTGATACATTATATTTCTACTAATGTGACAAATAGTATTTCAAATCCCCTGACATATGTGTGTGTATATGTGTGTGTGTGTATATATGTGTGTATATATATGTATATACACATATACATGTACACATACATATACATATATATGTATTTCCTCTAGACAGTTGGCTCTCGGGCCAGTACTGCTGCTCATCCTTATGAGGCTAGAAAGAACTAGTATGTTGCAGAGTCCAAAAGGTCAGTGTGGCTGAAGTAGAATGAGGGGACAGGTAGCATGAGAATCACAGAGGGGCCAGACAGGCAGGACCTCAGAGGTCTGGCCGAGGACTTGGCAGACACAGCCCCTCACCTCTCCGGGGGTCAGACAGTGCTCTCACTGACCTTCACTCTGTTTCTCTTTTGTTTCAGAAGTGGTGTTCTCATCTTATCCTGGATTTTCAACCTCAGAGGTAGGAACTGACTATCTTGAGTTTGTGTCCTTGAGTTAGAACATTTATTTTAATGAGCAAAAATAAGTTAATGGAGCCGTGAGAGACATCAGTAATGACCACTGAGGAAGCCCATTCATTGAACAAATATTTATCAAGCGCCTGATGTGTTCTGGGCATTGTGCTGGCCTGTAGCAATGTAGCAGTGAACTAGTCAGTTTGGCCCCTGGCGCACACACCCACAGGCTCAAATCATTGTTCTCAGATGCTGTTCAGTAGTAATACTGCTGGTAATCAGTGCCAGGTGGTCAAGCTGGCATTGATGTGAGGCTGCCACTAGGAGAAAGCCCAGGCAGCAGCAACGTAACAAGAGACCCCCCAAAGCCAGAGTGATCTTGCCAAATATACCACCATCCTTGGTGTCATACACTCAGACACTTGATTTTTGTCAGCACCCAAAATTAATTGTCTCTCAAGTTTGATGCTTACTAACCAACTCATGAAGACTGGCGCACTGAAGGCTGACTGAGGAAACACAACGAAAATGGAGCCAACCTGTGTCTCTCCAAGCCAGCTGAGTTACTCCCACCCAACACATACAACGGAGAAGTTTATCAACTAACAATTACTGTAGACCCAAACAACCCAACAATACTGACTCAAACCATCACCATTTATTAGTTGGTTAGTAGTGCGACTGGTTTTGCCAGGGCTCACTCGTGCAGCTGGCACTTGGTGGACAGTGGGCAAGACTTGGTATCTCCTTATTCTCTTTTCATTCTGGGCTTCCAGAATGAAGTTATTTTCAGCACTGTGGCATCAGGCTTCCAAGAGAGCAAGGGTGAATGCGAAACTCTGAAGTTCACACAACGGCACTTCTACTACATTCTGTTGGTCAAAGGAAGGCTTAGGCCAGTATAATACTGCAGTACGGTTCTGACATGAACCACCTAGCACAGACCCCGCAAACTAAGGACACAGTCCTCGACAAGACTGCCCCCACTTCAGATGCCTATTGCAGGTTGGGGATACCCAAGCTACTGTACTTGTGACCCACTGGCTATAAATTTGGGAGTTCCCACAGCCCCCTTGGGTTCACTCATTTGCTAGAACTCACAGAATTCAGGAAAACACTATACTTATGGTTATAAATCAGGACCAGGCAAGTGGAAGCTATATAAGGCAAGGTCTGGGAGGGCCCCAGATCAGAACTTCTGGGTCCTTTCCTCATGCAGTCAGGCGTGTCAAACTCCTGCATGCTGATGTCTGTCGTCAGCCAGGAAGCATCCCTGAGTCTCAGTGTCCAGATCTCTATTGCAGTTTCATTGCATAGACAGGATTGAGTCACTGTGCATGTGACTGACCTCAGTTTCTAGTCCTCGCCACTCCTCCTAAGCTGTCAGGCCAAGCTGTCAGGCCAAACCCCCTTTCATCATTTGGAAGTCTTTCTAGGTAGCCAGCCCAATCTGGATCCATCTCCTTAGCCTAAACTCAAAGGGTGATCCACAGCATCCTTGAAAAACAGAGACACTTCTGTCACTCGGGTAATTCCAAAGGTTTTACAAGTTCAGTGCCAGAAACCCAGACAAAGATCAGATGGATTCTGTATTTGATAATAGCCAGCTTCATTTTCAGACTCCACCTCTGACTAAGAGAAGCAACCAGGCCATGTGCACAGGGCCTGTATATGGGCTAAAGGTACTGATGGCCATTGGACAGTTTGCCACAGAAGTCAAAAACAAGTGGTAGGTGGTTCAGTGCTCAGACGGCAGCTGTGGCATCTGAGACCATAGAGATAGCACAAGATGCTGGCGGCTGTTAGTGGATGTCTATAAAAGGCAGGTGTGTCGGGCCCTCCTTGGTGGCACAGCCGGTTAAAGCACAGCACTAAGAAGCTAGAGCCACTTCAGCATGAGTTAGATCCCCGCCCTGGAGGTGACCCACATGGCGTGGCAGACCTCTCCTGACCCGCTTGCTGCTGCCCTCAGTGGTGTACTTCATCAGTTGGCCAGTTCTGCTCCCCACTCTGTCTCTGGTGAAACTTCTCACCGCCCCTGCATCTCTGGCCTGTACCCCAGTTCTGTATGCATAAATTAATACATCTTTAAAAAAAAAAAGTCAGGGGTGTCCCCACTTTGTCCCCAGCAGACCCAGTCATGCCTTTAGGTCCAGACACTGCTGACCCTGGACAGTGGGAGACAACTGAGTCTGAGTCTGACTCTGGCTTTTTTTTTTCTTTCTTCCTGTTTTCCGATCTGACTTGCCGCCTTTAGCTCCCACAGCCTTTCTCCAGATAGGAAATGGCAGATATGGAGATTGTCTTGTCAGGCTGCCGCCTAGTCCGCCTATTCCACCCTGGCCTCTCAGACTGCATTTGAGTCAGCTGGAGAGGACAGTCACAGGAGTTCCCAAAGGCCCCCTATAACTGAACTATCCCACTGTGTGAAGCAAGTTGGATCCCAAGAGAGCACAAAATACTTTGCCCCAAGTACGTACTCACAAACATTCACTGAAGGAGCAAGTGAAATTTAAGTGATTTGCTTACTGTACTACATAGTGATTAGTAGAGCTTGGAACAGAATCTAGTTGATCTGAACCCAATCACTATCCCAACATCTATCCTGTAAATCCCTTAAATGAATCCCATCAAACTCAAGGAAAGAGAGAGTGAACTGAGTTGAACCTACTTAACCCAGCAATTTCCAAGTTTGATCAATCAAACCTGAGGCGGTCTTCTTGCGCTGAGAGACCGTGACCCTGCAAGTGACCCCGCTGTACCTTGCGGCAGTCCTGCATCAGGCCTGCCCAAAGGTGCCTGAGACTCAGCTGCCCGTCCGCCTGGGTGAGGGCTGCCCATCAGGTGTGCGAGACTCATCACTCCTCTCCCCTCCAGGAAAGTCTCCTTAACCATCCCTTCACCTTCCAGAGAAATGCTGGCCCATATATGTAGAAAAGATAGTTCAGGGTAGACTCCTGAGGGCCAAAGACCCTCTGATATTGGTACCACTGTTTATTTTACTCGCTAGCCTCAGAGAACTTGAAACTGGAACTTTGGGTGCTGGAGAACTAGCTCACCAAGTGACTCTGGAGAATGTGGAACCAGAACTCTCGGTGACATTCCCCATGTGGAATGCTCATTTGCTAGCACACTTCTCAGGAAGTCTCTGCTGGTCCTTGGCAGGATTCAACTTCTTTATCATCAGGGCGCTTTGACTTTGACCTTTTTTTTCCCTCCTAAGACAACCAAGGTATGTGCACTTCCTCCCATATTCGAAATTCTTCCTGTGAAGTCCCTGAAAGCCAGGAACCAGACGCTGGCCCCACCCTTCCCAGAGCTGAGATACCTTAGCCTGGCCTACAACAAGGTGACTCTCTGCTTCTCTACCTATTTCCTCAGGGGACAGATGGGAAGTGGGGCGAGATGCCAGCTACTCTGGCCTAAAGGCCAACCTTGTGGATCCCTGCAGAACAGGTTTGCAGATTCAGGAGTTCTTGGGGTGGGGGAGGCAGAGACATTATTTAATACATACCACAGGCCAGGCTCAGTGCAGGCCCTGCGAATACAGTGTCCAAAGAGAGACTCAGCCCCTGCTCTGAGGAGCTTGACACCTATCAGGAAGACTGATACTGGATATATAAGCTTGCTCGGCATTATGAACAAGTTCATAAGTGTATGACCGAAGAATCTACCTTAATATCTGACATCAGGGAAGTTTGTCTAGACAGTGATGTTTACTCTGAGTCAGTGAGTTTAGTTAAGTGAAGAGTGAGTATTGCCAAGCAGTGGGCTCGCTACCAATGGATGTCTCAAAACCCCGACCTCAGCTTTGAGAAGAGATAGAAGCTTTATTACACATAAGTTGACAGGAAGGATGGCGATAAACTCAAGGCTACCTCCCTGTTTAAGAGAGGAAATGGGTTTATATAGCCTTCAGGGGATGAGGTTGAGTGCAAAGGAGTTAAAAGTCTTGGTGAAGGAGTGAAGTAGGAATAAAAGTCTTGGTAAAGGAGTGAAGTAGGAACAAAGAAATGTGGACTTAGCTCAAGTTCACTAGCTACTTACAAGGCAGTTCATACATAAGGAAGTATGAAGAGGCTTTTCTTCAGGTAACTGGAGATTGGAATTTCTGCTGGTGGGCCCCTCACCTGTGGGTCACCCCCCTGTTCTAGAAGCTCCCAACTCCAACTCACCTTAGAGCCTGGGTCAAGATTAATCAGTAAATATCTGGATGCAGCTGTGTCTGCAAAAGCAAGTCTCAGAAAGTAGTTTAGATAAATTTATTCCCCCACCCCACCCCTTTTGTGCTTAGGGTCTGAGCTCAGTTAAGCCTCAGTTACTTGAGGGTAGATTGAAGTGAGAAATGTGCTAGCCTAAGGCAACAGCAGCTTTAATATGATTTCCATATATTTTTTTGTTATCCATATCCTGTTTGATTTTCTGTAAACCCCACTAATTGACCTACTTTCGAATCTGAAATGCAGGCAGCTTTTAAGGTGCTCTGCTTATACTCCTACAGGAAGCCAGCAGGACAGCTACACCGCCCGAGTGTTTTTTTTTTCCTAGGAGTTTATATAGTTTTAGCTCTTACATTTAAGTCTTTGCGCCCTTTTGAGCTACCCCTTCACATGCAGTGTGAGACTGGGGTCCAACTTCATTCTGTCAATGTGGACTTCTAGCTCCTCAACACCATTTATTGAAAAGACGAGTCTTTCCCTACCGAATGGTCTTCTCATCCTGGTGAGAAAATCATTTGCCATTCGTGGAGTACCTCTTTCATTCTTGAAACCAGGTAACGTCTATCATTTATATTGATCCAAAATAGCTGGAAGTAATCCCTTTTATGCACTTTTAAAAAATGAAACTAGCTGCTGGTTTTTCTGCATCTTCCTATTGTCTGTTTTCCATCTCATTGATTTAGTAGGTTCCCCTGCTCATAACTATTTCTGCTCTGTTCACAATGAGTTTAATTTGCTCCTGTTTTTCTGGTAGCCCAAGTAGAACATTTATAGATTTAGATCTTCTTTCTTCTTAACATAAGCGTGGAAAACCACATTTCTTCTCTAAGCACTGCATACCTGGAGCCTACCTATCATGGCACATGTTTTGATTTCTGTTCAATTAATATTATTCTAATTTTCATTATTCTTTGATTTCTGATTTAATTCTACTATGGTCAAATAGTGTAACCTGTGAGATTTCATTTTCTGAAATCTGTTTAAACTTTGTTTATGGTCCAGACTATAATCCACATTGGTAAGTGTTTATGCGCACTTAGAAAAAGATGTGTAGCCTGCATTTTGGGCAAATAGTGTCCTATAAATATCAATTAAGTTGAGGTAGCTGACATTGTCACTCAGGTCTTTTCTGTACTACTGTTTTGTGTCTTTGTTCTACCCTTTATGAGAAAGGGATATTAAAATCTCCAGTCCTGACTCCGGCTTTGTCTGTTTCTCCCTGTATTTCTGACGATTTCACTGCACGTATTTTGAAGCCCTACTACCAAGGACAATAAATTTAGGATTTCAGTTACTGAATGTGTTTATCCTTTTACTATTATGACTTGCCACCCTATACTCCTTGTCTTGATGTCTGTTTTGTCTGGTTTTCATATAGTTAGGCAGTTTTCTTCCTTTTTTTTTTAATTTATTTTTTTGTACGCGGTAGCACTGCTTTACAGTGTTTGTGTTTTAGAATACAAAGTACAAAAATCCCACAGAAGGGGGGGGTTCTAGTGTTGTCTTCTAGTGTTGTTACCATTCTGGCCACCAAAGCACCCAGACCCCACCACCTTAGTCCACTGTAATCAGCTTTCCTATGCCTACTGCTTGTGTGTTTCTTTCTAAATGTCCAGCCTCATTACAGCTCTGTATGTAAAGCACATCCCTTCAGACAGCCAGTTGTTGGTTCTTGCTGGGGTGCATTTGTTTTCTTGGTGTTCCTCCTCTCTCGGCTTGCCTGTGGTCCTCGGCCCCGGAGGGTCTTCTGGCCACGCTCTGTTCCTCCTCTAGCTCTACCGCTTTTGCCTGTTATCACTTACTACACTTACTGCCTGATGGGGGAGGGGGACGGTGGGGGACAATGAGAGCTGCCTTCCTCGCTCTGGAGTTGACCCTATCCCTCCCCAACACGGACCTCAATGCAGGACACCATCAGGGGCGCTCTTGACAGGCTGACGGGTGTGCAGAAATTGTCTTGAAGAAGGCGAAGCATCAGCCAGATTGTATCCTGAGTCAAAGTTAAAATCCTGTCAGGCCCCAGACTCTGTGAGATGAGCGCTATATCTATTTTTGTTCTTATTGGTTTGTCATCCATTCTCAGTACTTGGTATAGGCTACAGACCTGGTGCGGAGGAAGAAAAAAGGTTCAGTTTCAAAGGTGGCATTTTGGAGGACGGGGGCAAGGTGTTCTGGGTGTGAGCAGGTAAAATTGCACATGAGACATCACCTAGCAGTGAGTCCTGCCCACAGCAGCATCACGCCCCCGCCCCACCCCTCCCCTAAGCACCGGCAGGGGTGGAGGCAGCTTCCGCCTGACATGCTCTCCTGCATTCCTGACAGATTGCCAAGGAAGATGCCATGCTGCCTGTGGCTCTCTTCCCATCTCTCTCTGAGCTCATCTTTCATAACAACCCTCTGGTGGCGCACACACGAGGTACAGTGCCCGCAAACCCGGCCTCGCATCCCTGTGCCTAAGATGTGTGGGCAGCCTCCTCCCCCCTCATCCGTGCCAAGTCCGAGGCTCTGCTCTGCCTTGCGGTGGAGGTGGATCCGGGTGTGCTGGGGAGTGAAGGAAACAGCAGGTGCTCCCGAGCCCATCCGCTCATCCTGACGCAGCCCTGTGCAGCAGGCAGTGTCCTGTGTGCCGTGGGGACACAGGCCAGAGAGCTTCACGAGCTGCCCAAGGTCACACACAGCAAGCTCGGGGCTGAGCAAGACTGAATGCAGAGTTCTAAACAACACCCTGCCTTGCAGATGAGGTTTGCTGTGACCTCATTTCCTACTTGGGGAGGGGGTTCAGGGCCCAACTACAGGGTTTCCCCCTCCTGAGGGCACTGAGCCCAAGGGATGCAACCCCAGTGCGGACCCCACCGCCCAAGATGCAGCAGCCGGAGGCATGTTAGACGCCTGGGCCTTGCAGCGGCAGGACAACAGTGGAGTCTGACCCTCACACCACACCATCTTTGTTAACCTCCGTGCCTCCGATTCTTCACTTGTCCAAAGGGAACAATGTGGGTACCCGCTTCGCAGGGCTGGTGGAACCATCACTAAGTACGCCAGTCATAGGCAGCAGTTTGAACAGCAGCTGACACAGGAGATGCGAGCTGTCAGTAACCTCATTTTCCCACCATGGCTCCAGGAGTCCCTCCACTGCTGAAAAGCTTCCTTCACGATCGGCTGGGGATCCACCTAGTTCGCAGGAAGATAGTGAAGGCCAAGCACCATATGTTGATGCCTCGGAAGGACTCACGGAAGGTAAGGTTTCCAGGGCTGGACGCCAGCCCCAGAGGAAGTGGAGCCCATGTGGACGCTTGTAAGCAAACCGGCCACAGACTGCGCATTCCATGCGCCTGGGCTCCCTCCCTTAGGCTTCCGGGGCAGCACTGTCCCCTCCTGCCCTGGCTCTGCCAACAGAGAGGTGTCAGGAGGGCCAAGACAGACCCAAAAACCGGAATCGGCAAGAGGCTTGGAGGTCATTGAGTCTGACTCCCTAATTTTACAGAGAAACTGAAGCACAGAGCAGCAGCTGGGCACATAGACCAAAACCAGCCAGAAGACCCAGGTGTGAGCCTGGCTCAGTCACTGTGCATAGCTGCCTGGACTCGGGTGCGAGTTTCACTCTCTGACCAGTTCTCTCCATTCCAAACTTCTCAGACCTGCAGAGAGAACTGGATGGAGCAACAGATACTAAAATACTTAATAAACACCCTAGTCCCGTAGCAATGCATTAGAGTCACCTGGGAAAATCGTGACTGACCCTGCCAGGCCTGGAACACACACTCCTGACTGAATCTCAAGAAGCATTTCCTTGTTCAAGCAGTCTGCCCCTCAGACCTAGCCAGTCAGTGGGCTTAGCCTGCCTTCTGGAATCCCATAAAGTCAATCAAATCTCCTTTTCATCTGAAGGATGTCAGAATTTTCTGTGAAATGCGCCTCCATCCTGAACTTCAGTCGTCCCATGGCCAAAAAAGACAAAAATTGAACTGGCCAGTGCTAATCTCAAAAGTGACATCCAGTAACTCCCTCAGCTCTGCCAGCAGCCCACTTCTGTCCCGCACATTCTTGTCGGGAGCCCCAGGGGACCAGAACAGCATTTAAAGCCAAACATGGACAGAAATTCGAAGGGTTTCCATCATCTTGTCCTTGTCTGTTGCCGCCTAAAAGGACCCTACTCCCTCCCTCCCATCAGCCAGGGGAGGAGGGGCAGAATCAGGGCGAGCTGATGCTAAGGGCATATCTCCTCTCCCACACAGCGTGCTCTCCACAGCCCCAAGACCCTCAGACGCAGAGACAGGCTGAAGGGCAAAATAACAAACTGTGAAGTTAGTGTGGGCATCCAGGGCAATCTGTGAGGTTCCAGCTACTAGAGGGTAAACTCAAATACCAGTGGCCACCCATGAGGCAAATCAGTGCTTCTGATTGGCCAACACCACCTAGCCTCACTGCAGGCCAGGCTGGAGAGCGTGGCTGAGGCCTTCTGCCAGAGCCAGTGCCTGCGTGGCCCCCAGGTGCACAGAGACGGGCTGGACGCACAGGCAGCAGCAGGACTGTTACTTGGTCAGTGAACCAAGGCTGCCGGCTCTCCCCTCCTGCCAGGCATGGACAAAAGGGGACGTGGAGAACCTGCCAGCACAGGCCTACCCAGACCCACATATCACGTAACTCAGAGCTGTGAGAGCGCACGTGGAAGAGACAGCACCTGCCCTCCAGGCCCTCAGTCCGACCCCCCGGGGATGCGTGGTGCCCAGGGGTGGGGAGGTGGGTGGAGGATGGAAGATGGAAGAAGAGCATCCTTCGGCAACCCCCAGCCCAGAGCTGAGCGGGGGGCATAAATGTGGCCCCTTCCCACCTGATGGCACTTGGTGTTTTGGGCGCTGAGGCTTGGGTCTGAAAAACCCACCTGTGTCCATCAGGCTCCAAACACTGAGGTTCTGGTGTTTTCCAAAGGAAATATTGTGTTTAGAAGAACTTTACACAAGAGTTACCCTAACACTCCTCAGTTTGTTAGGTGCATGTGGGAGACCTCTGGCACAGAGGCAGGGCAGGGGTTGCCTCAGTCCGTGGAGGGGAAGTGGAAGCTTCAAGACCCCTGAATTTCTAACATCCGTGCCAGGGAGCTGCACTGCACTAGGTCTCTAAAAGTGCAGATAGGCACAGACCAAGTGCCTTTGACATAGAATAAGAAACAAGTACAGTGTAAGTGGGAAGCTAAGCCTAGCGGGGGAGACTGAGCCCATGACTGGGAGGAGGTGACTGGCCTTGCCGAGCAGTTCAGCAGGAAGCTGCACTCTGAGGAAGACTTGCCTTTGGTGTCTTTCTGCAGCAGTGCAGGGACCAGCTTCTGAAGGGGGCCTGGTGCTGCTGCCTTCCAGAAGTCACAGGACCATCTCCCCACACCCTCTTTGTTGTCCCCAAGGAAAGTCGAGAGCACCTTATTAAGTCTCGAGCCAGGGAGCAAAGCTTCTGCGCCAGAGGCATATGGCCAGGGCTGTGGGAAGAGGCCTGGCACCCAGAGTAGACATCGAATAGTCCAGGCTGTGCCATGAGCAACTCCATGACCTTGGAACAAGCCACCTGACCTTTCTGAGCCCCAAGCTGCTCATTTATAAAACGAGGATAATTACTCACTGGTAGGTGTTGAAGTGTAACTATAACAACAGAGGTTATCACAGGGCGCACAATGGAGGCCTAGTAAGTACGGTGTCGCCACCTCCATATTATCTGAGTCCTCATCCAGTGCTCCAGTTGCTGTACCCGGTGGCCTTAGGCTGGTGAGGTCCGGGGGAGAGAGAATGATGAAGCAGCAAACCAATCAAGCCCTTCTCCCATGACAGGTAAAAACCCAAGTCCCAAAGGTGCCAAAGCAGCCGCTGATTCTCCATCAACCGTCCATCACCAAGTCTTCCTCAAAGGAGATGCTGGAGTCAGAAGCAGGGCTGCCTGAAGAGCCGCCCACCACCAGACACATACCGGTGAACATAGGGATACCCATTGAGGGCCCGGGGGGCCTGTCCTTGTCTCGCCGGACCTTTGTGCCTCTGCCTCCCATCTGCTCACACTCCACGGTGCAAAGTGAAGAAAGCGTATCTCACCACAGCGACATGGCCGGCCACCTGTCAGATGAAGACAACACGAGCACAGAGTCTGTCTTCTTGACCCAGGTGCCTGGATCCCCCTCCCCCAGCCCATTCGTCCCCCAGCTCCCATGGTGTCTGTGAAGCCCTGGACTGCTGTGGACAGCTGGGCGTGAGAGCACAAGGCAGGTCTGGAAGGCAGAGGCAGCACCCCTGGAAGGCAGAGGCAGCACCCCTGGTGGGGCCTGCAGCCCCTTCCGGGAGACCTGCTGATGTCAGGCTTCTGGTGGGGACACCCCTGACCAGTCAGTCTGTGGCACAAGACTGCTAGTCTTGGCTAAGTTTTACTGCTCCCTCTGCTTAAATGTTTGAGGTGATCTCACTTCTCAAGCTGCCTTTGAACTCTGTGAACACAGCCGGATGATATGTGGGTCCGGCCCATGAGATGCCCTGCGTCTGATGGGGGGTCTGGTGGGGAGCTGAACAGGAACGATGTGTGCAGTCAGTGTGAGACAGCACGATCGGGTGGGGCCCGAGGAAGGAGGGCTGCCTTTGCCCCAGACTCGGCAGCTTCCTGGAAGAAGTTCACATGAGCTGAGCTTTGCAGTTTGAATTGGAGTCAAGCAAGTGACGAGAGGAGCAAGGACATTCTGGGCAAGTGAACAGCATAAAGCAGGGTACAGAAAGTAAAAGTGTATGAGCAGGAACCATTCAGTGTCAGCAAGCAGAAGGGTGACATGTAAAGAGAGGAAAGCATGAGCCTGGTGGAGCTGAACTTCGTTCTTTTTTTTTTTTTTTAAGTTTATTATCTTTTTGTATAGAAGAACTGGGGTATGGGCCAGAGGTGGGAGGGGGTTGGAGGAGGGGTAAGGGAATTTGCCAGAGCCTAGTGGGGAGCAGAACAGGCACGTTGGCTGAAACACACTGCTGAGGGGGCAGCGGGCGAGACAGGAGAGGTCTGCTGCATCACGTGGGCCAGCTCCCTGACTGGGGATTGAACTTGTGCTGCAGTAGCTGCAGACAGCTTCGTAGTGCTGCTCTTTAACTCTTTGCACCACCAGGGAGGCCCTCACTTTACTAATAATTTTTGAGAATATTTGTATATCTGTTCATAAGGGATAATGGTTTGTAGTTGTCCTTTTTGTGACAGCTTTCCCTGTAAAACTAATTTCAGAGTAACACTGACCTCAGAAAGTGAGTTGGAGGTGTTCTCTCTTGTCCAGATTTTTGGGAGTTTATGAAGTGTAGGTATTCATGTTCTTTAAATGTTTGGTAGGCTTCATAGCAGCTGGTTGGCTCTTCTTTGTGGGAAGTTTTAAAATATGGATCCATCTCTTGTTTTAGGGCTGCTCAGCTTTTCCATTCCTTCTTCAGTCAGACATAAGTTTTAAGAAAGGGTGTAACTGCATCCCTACTTGAAATACAGTTGTCATACGGTTTCTTAGAAAACCATGAGGGAGGGCTTACAGTGCGAATTCAGAGAGTGTTCTAGCCTCCTTAAATCTCACAGTGAGGATAAAGAAAATAAACCAAAACATGACAAACTACCCTGAGCTTCAGATTTAAATGTCCAGGGGCCCTGCTTATGGCTCCAGCTGCCCCGCTTTGTGGCACGCTCCAGTGAAACCAGGTTTTAGTCCTCCCAGTGCACGTCCTGTGTCTGACCTGTGCACCATTGCCCACTCTACTCCTGGCCTGCCTGTCATCCTTCCTCAACCTTGCAGCCCTCCCCTCGCCATCCTGCTGGAGACCAGCTTGCCTGCTTTTTGGAGACTGACCTCAGGCTAAGGTGTCACTTCTTCCAGGAAGCTTCCTGGCACTCTGGTCTGGGAAAAGGTTCCTGAGAGGCTCCCCAGGACCCTCATGCTTCCTGTTCTAGCATGTATATGTTTCTCTTTGTCTAGCATTCATATGTATTTATATGTTCTAGCATTTTCATGTTTGCCTCCTCCCACCTCTGTCTTGGTTCTTGCCCCAGGCCAGGGCCCAGCACGGGGATTGGCAGAGAACTGATGCTTATTAGCATTAACAGACTAGACCAATGTGTTTTGCCTCCACACAGGTGAATGCGTTGCCTTCCCCCATCTTCCAGAGGGATCACTCAGAGTTGAAAGAGAAAGTCCAAAGGAGACCACAAACAGCACCCAGAGACGTAAAGAAGCCTCCGAGGAAGCTCTTATCTGCCTCCCTCCCCAGCAAGTACCACGGCTATGAGGAGCTGCTGACAGCCAGGCCTGATCCCTCCTATATTGAACCAAAGGGTATGTGAAGAGAAAGGTCCGAGCCCAGCGCAAGCTAGAGAGAAGCCAAAGCTGCTACCAGGCCTTGTTTCCCAGCCAGGATGCTGTCCTGTCTGAAGCTGTACCATAGTGCCCCCAGGGGTCCTGCTGTGGAACCCCACATGTTGGGACCCCTAGCCTGGCTCCTTTGGCTTTGGGAGAGCCACAGCTTGCTCAGGTTCCAGCCAATGTGCGCCGACCTGCTCTTGTTGGAGATGTCTCAGAGGAGGGTTTGATGTGTAAGCACTCAGACTGGCCAGATATTTAAACCCCTCCCGACCCAGTGAAGATCTGAAATCTTCCCCTGTTTGGTTGGACCCCTGAGGCAAGGGAGTTTGCCGCTGTCTGAGTTTGTTTCAGACTGACTGTTAATAGTGTCCGAACTTCTGAAGGAATTGGCGCTCAGCTTGGCCCTTGTGGGTGTGAGTCCATCCTAAGGTTAATGGGGTTGCACTGGGTCAGCCTGGATCTGCACTCAGAGGGGACCGCGGTCACTGCCTCCATGATAGCGGTGAGGCACTGCAACAGAGCAGGCGGAGATGAGTGGGTAGTGTTTCCTTCTTGGGGTCTCTCAGCAACTGTTCCCCAGGGCTACTGGGAGACAGTGAATGAAGAAGTTGGGCCCGGGAGCCTGGGGGAGGAGAGGGAGGTGTGCTGCTGGTGACAACCTCGCCTCCCTGAGCCAGGAATCCAGAAGAACGCACAGGCCCTGCAGCACATGCTCAAGCACCCGCTCCTGTACCGCTCCTCCAAGCCGAGGCTGGACACCCTGCAGAAACGCTATGTTCCCAAGGAGAAGCGGGTAGGTGCTCACCTCGCTGAGAGTGAGATGACTCCTGGGTCCCCCGCAAATGTGTGCAGATGTGGCTGTCACCCAGGGACCCCAAGTGCTCCCCTGCAGTTAGGATAACCATATGCAGTGAGGCCTGGAATGTCTGAGCACAAGCCTGGGGCGTACAAGTGCCATAACTCAGCCTTCTCTTGCCTCTGTCAGACCCAGAAGATCCCTGCTCCACCCCCACGGAAGACTCGAGCCCAGCTGCTGGATGACATCCTCATTCGCATGAGGGACCCCCGGAACATCACAGAGGCGCCACTCGGTAGGGCTCTGCCCCTCACCCTCAGCTGTCAGGACTGGAGAGCCACATTACTCGGCTGCTGGTCTAAGGCCCAGGGTTGTGTTGGCGCAGAAATTGTCCTCCAAGAATATTAAGCCCTGCTCTGACCATGCACAGTGGAGAAACGAGGCCCAGTGTGCAGCAGGAGGTTGCCCAGAGTCACACGACCTGTTGTGGACTAGACTTGTGGCCTGAGATAGATCAGGAAGGGACCCTGGTAGCTTCCCAATGGCCCCAAGGTAGAGAGACCTTAACATCCTCTTCCAGCCCCGTCCCACTCCATCCCACTTTTGGTGGGGGAGGGGCGCACTGGACCCAGTCCCTGTTCTCCCTTTGGGTCAGGACAACCCAGGGCGAGCTTGGTGTCACTGCCGCTCCTCTCCCCGCAGCTGCTGTCCTGCGCCGGCAGACAGAGCAGCGGCTGGTGAACCAGAAGCAGTACGTGGAGGCCAAGAAGCTGCTGAAGGAGTTCCGGGCCCGCTACAGGCGGCTGGTGCGCAGCTCACTGCGGACAGTGTTCGGAGCCTCGGAGCCAGCCCCAGCCCGGCCCGCGTTGAGCGAAGGCGAGACTAAATATGGCCACTTCCTCGAGCTCATGGACGAGTTCTGCCAGGAGCCCGTGGCCAGTGACTCAAAAGGCTAGGGCCGTGCAGGGCATGTACAAGCCGTCCAGCGGGTGCCCACACCTCACGCCCTCCCCCTCCCTGAGGGGGCCGTGCCTTCCACCGGGACCGCTAGGCCTATGTGGGCCCTGGAGTCGGGCTCAGCCTGGCTGACTGGCTGGCCGCAGAGAGTGGGGAACTCAGGAACCCCCCTATCTCGGGCTAACAGGCCCTGGGGCCTGGGTCAGCATCAATAAAGAGTGTGTACATAGCACAAGGTACTCACATGTTCTTTCTGGGAACTTGGGGCAGGCTGTCACGCTGGAACCACATCCCCTGTAGATGGGGGCCCGAGGAGGCCTTGGGAACCCGCCTGAGTCACATGCCTATGACAGAGCTAAGATGGGCGTTAGGGTAGAAAACTGGGGGGTAAATGGGACAGTGATAAGCTCAGAATTTAGGTTTCAGAGGAGTTAGAGCCCCCGGGCCTCAGAATGAGTGCTTTCTGTTGGGCAGCTTTTTCCATTGTGAGGGAAAATGGGGTGTGTTTGGCGGGGTAGGGGTTAGGAATTGTCAGGTGGCCATGTTCACAAAGGTGGGGCAAACTGAGGTCTTGTAATCCAGGACACATATTTAAGATGGGCTGTGGCTCTAACACAAAGTCAACCAGACTCACAGTAAGTAAAGCGACTGGCAGCCAGTGGATCACCCCAGCCTTGAGAATACCCAGTAGTCAGCACCTGCGAGGGGGGAGATCTGGTGAAGACCCCTAGGGCTGGATTCCAGTCTGTGCACCTGGGGATGGATGTCGGGCAGGACCCAAGGGCCTGGTAACCTTTGCTTCTAAGGCTCCCCTCTGGGGCAACCCACATTTCAGATCTGGGGAACAGGCCTGCAGTTCCCAGAAAGCAGTGGCAAACTCCAACCTAAGCTGTAATTAAGGAGATAATAGAAACGAAGTCTTGTAGCCATAGGTGTGACAGACGCGTGGCAGAGCACCCGCCACATTACAAGTGTGAGAAATTGTGAGGACACAGACACTTGCCTACTGTCTGCCTTGACCACAATCTCTCACACGTTAGCTAGCAGGAGAGTCACTCACAGTGGCACCCGTGGGCCACAAAAGTGCCCTTCTGTTATTGTTAGGAAGGAAGCGCCACCTCCACCCTGAAAACCTTACTAGGTGCCAGTTCTGGAGAAGTATCTGGCCCCGGGGAACACACTTTTCCAGCCTCTTGGAAGCCACCTACAGCAGGTCATTCAGCTCCTCTTGCCTGTGTCTAATGACAGGAAGCTCATTCTCCAAAGCTTGTCTTTACTTGTGTTGAGAAACGGTATCGCTAGTTCTAGCCATCGGACTCAGCTATCTGCTTACGTTCCTCCATCATCTTAGCACTGCTCTTTGGCCAAAAATGTATTTTTTCTTTCTACCCAGCTAGGCCAATGTGTGAGAAAACGCTGAAGACGCTACACTCATGCATTGTTCCTTTGGCTTTATTGAGCTGTTACCAGATTAATATCAGAACAATTTCCCCTTTTTTATACTTAGCATTAACCTCTGGTATTTGATTCAGGGAGTTTACATTTCACCTCAGCCTGAGCCTGGAGTTCCAGGATGCCAGAATCATTTGGAATTCTTAATTGTTGGCTTTCCTATTTTGGAGGCTGTTTGGAGGGAGCTGAGCACTGACCCCTTTTCCCTCACCAAATCATGTCACTGTAGAAATCCCAGGACGGAAGCCACTAGGTGACTCGGATACTCACTTCGGAGGAGGGCTTGTGAACTGTGCTGTTTCTAGTTCTACCTAGAAGAGTAAGGGAAGACCATGAGGGCTAATTTTTCTTACTATTCCTTTCAGCCTCAGCTCAGGCATGTCCTTGAATTCACCCAGAATGTGAACCTATAGGACACCAGTGTACCACCAGGAACTGGTGCTCAGCCCAGAGCCTAGGCCTGGTGGCACTCAGAATTTATGGTTGAATGGACTGGCAGGAGTGAGTAATAAACATGCTGTCTTAAAGGGATTACACAGTTGCTTAAGGAGACAGAAGCCAGTGCTGGGTATGTTCCCACAGGCACTGCCTGGGCATTCTCTTAAAGCCACCACATTCCAGAAAAAAACAAAAAACAAAAAACAGCCCTCCAGCCTGGCTACTGTTTTAAGTATATGAGGCAGAGACTCAGCTGTCCACTCACCCACCCTCCCATCAAGGTGAATTTTTGCCTCTCAGCAACTATTCGATCATGTCCAGTTGTCTGTTCTTTCCAACTCGTGTGTAACCTGGACTTACATTACCAGGATTCAATTTTAACCCTAACTCTCTCATTAACTGTATTATATAGGACAGGTTATTTAACTTTGCCTATAGCATTAGTGGGATTTTCAATCTCTCTGTGTCCTTATGATGCTGAACACAAACTTTGAGGTCTCCAGTAAGCAAATTCACTTGGTTTCCTGCATTTTGTATAGTTGATGAAACATGACCTAGTCCTTGTTGAGTAAAATCTCCGACTAGATATGTCCAATGAATGGGGATTCACAAGTAATCATTGAGGCTTTGGGTGGTGGCCACCCTCCCTGTGGCCAGCGTAGTCACGTCCCAGCACACCTGACCTACCAGATAGCGCTTCATCCTCAGGCTAGTTCTGAGTCCATAGTCTGCTGGTGAGTGGCTGACTGCCACATTCTTCTGAGCATTCTCCAATTTTCTCTTTCACCAAGAGCAAATGAGAATAAAGTCTCTCCAAGATTAATTAGATAGGCCCATTGTTTTTCTACCCAAAATGCCCAGTGAAAACCGAGAGCCAAAACGTGATTTAGAGGCAGATTGTGCCTCAGAATCCTTGTTACCGCAGGATAACTCACACCACATTAGTCGGTACAGGGGGAAGGCTTTGGTCCCTTTAGCCCTTCAGGCTGTCTGAGAGATCCAGTTCAGAGTACAGCAGGAACCATACTGCTAGCCAAGGCCAGAGGGGAAAGGATAGAACCACCTGCAGCTGATTTGAGCCAGGGCCACAGTAAACAGTGTGGACCCAGTTTCCAGGCCCTGCATAACAGTCAGGCCCGAGTTTCCCATCTGTAATGAGGGCTGCCCCTTGCATCAAGCTATATAGGAATGAATGAGGGTGTGGAGTATGACCTGTCAGTTTAGGGCCCAAAAAACAATGATGTATTCTCACTATCTCCAACTAGTACATTGTTTTCTGCCAATAATTTTAGCAGCTATACACCATGAAAATCCCATCCCACCTCCCAATTTCTCTCATCATGCTGAATGCCAAAGCAAGTCGTTGCAATGTGGGACATCTCCCAGAGCAAAAGCAGCACCAAAGAACCACTGCCCATAGTCAGTCTAAGCTTAGCCCCAGTCTGTCTTCTCCAGAAGTAAGACTTTGAGTAGAAAAATAACATTCATATTCATGAGTTTGCTTTACTGTGTTCTCAACTTGGGCCTCTCCTCAAGCAGGCAAATATACAGTGAAGAATGCGCTTTGGTATTGTTTTAATAAACTACACATCATCCCATTTGACTCCATGACATTTCCTTGTTGGCAGAAGCATTCCTCGAAGGGCACACCCTGTTCTGAGTCCTCTGTCTTTGTCAAACACTCTTTATGATGAACCGGAGAAGAGGCAGTCAGGAGAGGCAGCCCATCAGGACCCAGGCCCCTTCCCCAATTCTAATGCAGACAGCAGGTTGAGTAAAACCAGTATACAATCCATTTTCTATTTCTAGGTGGGAGGGGTTAAGGACAACTGTGTTTGTACAGAGTTGAAAGTAAACAGGGTACCAAGGTGGAAAATCCATTAGTTGGTACTTAAGGTAAGTTTTTCCCCTTTCTCTCTCAGGCTTTATGTGTTCTGCTGGAGACTGAGGGTTGAAACCACTGAGGAACAGCAATTGCTACCATCGTTGGCACAGTGTAGAAGTGGTGGGACTGCTGCCAGTGTCCAAAGTGACCCTTGAGCTCTGGGGCCTGGTTTCTGAGGAGCGCGTTGCCTGTTTTCACTCTATGTCAACAGGAAGATGAACAAACCTGGCTTTACCTTGGCTTTGTCCAGCCAGTTCTTAATTTGAGAAAATGTGAAGGGAGCACACCCCAGGTTTGAGGTTGCCTCCGCATTTACACATTAAAGAAGCATTTACTCACAAAGTAAAATGTGAATTTTTTTCCCAAGGAAGGAAAAGAAAAAAGAAAGAAAAAAAAAAAACACTGATAATGTACTAATAATGTGCACAGTCTTGGCTCTTTTCCTTCATTCAATTTAACCAGCCTCTAAACTGGTGACCCCTGCAATGTCAAGTCCTTTTCTGTAGAATAATCTTCAGGAAGTTACAGTAGGTCACAATCATGGGTAAAGATGCATTTCTACATCTTTGGAGAAAGTCTATTCAGCAGCCTCTATTTCCTGAAATCTCCCTGCTACTCCTACCACTCCCCAAAACTGAAGGCTTTCCTCATTGTCATAAAACTCATACAGTTTATGCTCACTTCTCAAAACCAGACCAAAAAGACCACTCCATAGGCTGATGAGGAAAAGATTGGCTGCAAAGATTTAAGTCCTTAAGAAAGTACTTGATTTTCAAAGGAAAATGAAGGGTTGGCTAGTTTTTACCTGTAACCATTAAAATGACATTCCAATAAAAATATATCATTTCCCAAGATATATTTGCTTTACTCACATGACAGGGTTTTTTTCCCTACCAGATATATATTCAGGGAATATAGGTCCATTTTAATTCTAACTGAAAATAAAAATGCAAGAAAAATTTTAGAGCCTCCTCAATCATTTGGGGGTCCCTCTCACTAGCAAATTGTGTTTGTGTGTGTAACTTAAAAGTCTACTTATTTAGATCCTTCTGTTTACAGTGGTAAACAAGGAATAGGACACTGGACTTCATGACCCTTTTATCTTAGGCAAGAGGGGGGGGCTTGACTTTATTCATTCCAGCTATAACATTTTATGATTATGATCCAGTCTTCAATTTTTCTCCCTTCCACCTCATTCTCTTTTGGTAAAACTTAGAAAATGGAAATCAGGGTTATAATCAAGTTCACAAACACTGATCAGGATACTGAAAATGTTCAAGGCCACCTACTTGGTGCCAGATAATATTATAAGATCATAATAAGAAGCAGCCTTTCATTAGACCATTAACAAACTCTCCAGCCACACATACATTCAAATACATTTCATTAGACATTGAGCTCAAGAGCAGGGACTGTCCTTTACATCTTCATATCTCCATGACCCCACACAGGGTTGGCACAAGTTCGAAGCTCAGGAAATGTTTGTTAAATGGAACAGAAAGGCAACAGCACAGCCTTCGGTCATCAGCTTCACCAGTTAAACACAGTGGCACCTTCCCACTTTAGTCAATTTGTAATCATACAACAATTACTTAAGCAGCTTTAATCTCTTAAGGGCATTTTTTCTTTAGGGAACAATAACAACAAAAAAACCCAAAAACTCAGACGGCGTTATCACCAGTGCTTCCTCAAAGCAAAAATTTAAAAAAATTTTTTTATATGAAGTCACTTACAATTCTCTTGGGAAGCTTCAGCCAAGAAGAATTAATCTTTCCAAGAGGGGCCAGGGGGTGAATGCATAATCCCCTGATGGGACAGCAACCCAACAGGCCCAGAGGACCTCTTCTGGTAGGTACAATCACTTGGCCGTGACTATGTTCCCAAGGTATCTTCCCCACTCTATGAAAAAGAGCTGAGAGGCCCCTTCCCAGGGACCACCACTACCTGGATTTCCATCAGAATGACCTCCATCACCAGCCTCTCATAACTTCCCCTTTAATAACAATATAGAATGCACAAGCAAGGAAGTTAGTAGTGAACTGGATTCCAGTGATTTGCTTGCTTTCTAAAATCGTGTATCCCTCATTCTAGCTCACAGGCCCTCATCGTTCTAGCTTCCTTACGTGTCTTTATTCCTCCAAATAATTCATGCTGACAATTCCATTTGTGATCACACACAGAAGGGGGAGCTTTTCAGGAAGGGCTCAGCATCTTAAAATACAGGTAATACCTTAGTGGGGTTTTTTTCCCTCCAAAGCCTTAAAGATTAAATAAGCTTCATCCCTGTTTAACCTAGACTGCTTTGTCTGTGTCTGAAGGACTCCAGCTCGGTGGGACATTTGGAAAGGGACAACCATCAATGCCATTTTTGGCACCAGTAAGTAGGTTCAGGAGGGAAGTCAGTAGACTGGATCGGGCATTTGGAATAGTTCTCAACAAGAAGTAGCTTCTCATTCTAAACCTGAAGCTAAAACTTGTTGCAACTGCTATGCAATTTCTTAAAATGAAATTATTACTTTGGGGAAATATTTAAAATATATAATCTTTATCTATTAAAAATATGTATCTTTCTTCCAAAACCAAAAATCAGTTCCAACTAAAAAGTGTCTTTCAAATTACTGGGGACATAGAAAAAGGTGGCAAGTGGAAAAATACGTGTCTTTGCTACTACCAATAAGACTAGCCTTCCAAGAATATTTACTAAGCTCAAAAAGGAACTGTGAAATTGCAGTATCTAATGTTTTCTCTAAGGGCTTTTAGTGAGGTTACCTCCCTGTCCTCTGCAGACCATTGCCAACTTTTCTATCTTGGGCACTAGTAATCCTCCAGCAGCCTCTGGAAGGTATATGTTGCTGGTGGGGCAGAGAACTGAAATGGTGTGAATATCAAGGGATTTTAAAAACAGAAATCTGCACGTGTGCACAGAAATACTAGGGACACAGAACACATATTCAGGAGAGTGACGCTCCCCATCAAAGTGATCACTGAGGAGGTTCCACATATCTCATGACAACCACAATGCTTAAGACATCTCTGGAACGTCTCTTTGGGGACTGTTTTTGAACTGTACAAGGGTAACTGCTTTACAGCTGCCCCTCATTCATGCCTCTTGATAACCACCTTCATTTAAAGAAACTTCAAATAGTTTCTGACTAGTATTGAACTTAATTTTTTTCCCCCTATGATTATCCCCAAAGATTGGAGATTTGCCCAGAGAAGGGGTAGGGAGCAAGCAAAATTACCGAAGAATCTAAACATAATAAATCCCTAGTAACCATGATCAGTGAATTACTGTTCGGGACCTTACGTTCTGCTTTAATAAGGGAAGGAGGGTGCAATAGACGACCAATAAGGTTCTTATAGTTCTGATAATTTAGGAGTCTGCGTTTCTAGAAATTTCTAGACTTTGAGGACAGTTCCAAAAGTTTTTGCCAATGGCAACATCACTGGAAAAACTATGCATAATCTGCTGGGGCCACGCAAGGGGACAAAACACGCTGGGAAATCTAAGCTTTGGAAAGTTCATTAAAATGCCATGACTTAATAGTAACAGCTCATACATGCCCACCTGAGAGTCCCTAAAATCATATCTTAATCCTTATTCTCAATGAGCCCAGATGGGCAGAAGCACCAAGCACCACCAGGGATGCAAAAGACACATGGTGTCACCAGCTATGGAAAATAAACCCCACAGGTCCATGGGACTGAATTTACCAGCTGCATCCAGCTAGATACCTTGTTTCCAAAGAATAGAGTTCCAGCCCTTGCCTGACTTTTGGCCACACTTTTTGGATTTTAGATGAACATTGCAGATAACCCTTGGCCAAGTAGATAGCAATAATGCAGTCCAACTGTAGTTTATCTGACAGAGGTGGAACCCACCAGGAAAACAGAAGGCTGTAAACTGTGGGGGTGGGGACAAGTGCACAGCATTTGATTAAACTTTCAGTCAACCTTCTGGTGGACTTTGCACAACTGGTATTCAGCTTTTCCTGGCATGCCCTTGAGTTTCAATCCACTACAGCAACCTGTTAATGTGGAAAATCCATGGGATTTGTTGTCAGCTATACCATTTAGTAACTGAGAAAATCTGGCCATCTGCACTGCAGTTTCATCATCTTAAAACAGGTCTAATACCACTGACATGTAAGGTCTCTTGGGAAGACCAAATTAAACAATGACTATGAATGTGGCCTGTTAATCATACAGCATTAATCACATGTTGTTTTTTTTTAAACAGGGAATGTACATTAACTTTTGCAGACTCATAGGTCAACTGATTTCATTAGGCATATTTAGTTGTGGCAAGGGGAAGGAGGGTGGGGGGGTAGGGGAACACGTGACAACTTATCATTTTGGATCTGCCAAAGAACTACCCTGTTCTATTCTTTGAAAAGACAGAACTAATTTTTATCTGCAAGGCTGATGTAAAACACCATCCTACTGAAAGAAGTCAGGAGGTCTATCAATTTGGGATGGTATCCCCTCCTTCCTCTACCATGTTTAACTTTGACCACTGTGTTCCTGAATCTCATTCCAAGTGGGTGCAGTCAGATTCGACCCAAAGTCCACAGGCGGGTCACTTGGGAGGCGAGGAGTGCTTCTGGCCTGGGTCTCAAGGAGGCAGAGATGTAGTCCCCTTGGATGCAGACTACCAAGGGCCTGGACCCTCTCAGAACCATGTGAGACAGTGTTTTGCCATTAAAAGAAACCCAAAGTGAGAACACTCAGCTCCTCAGGAAAAATGATCAAGTCCAAAGACCTCTTAAAAATAAGAAATACTGCCCATTAGGTGCTACTTGGCTCCCGCCATGTTGCTGGACCGTAAGAGATACTGATCGACGCTCCCTTTCCGCCGACTCACAGTCCGCCTCTCGTTGTCAAACATGCGCTGCAACTGCAGAGCCAGCTGTCGGTCCTCTTCCTCCTGCTGCAGTTTCTGCTCCATCTCTCGCAGTACTGGGTCTGCGGGGGCCAGACCGACCTCACCACTGCTTTGTCGCAGTTTCTTAAGGGAGCCATTTTGTTCTAAGTGCTTAGTCTTACAGTGTCTTTTCCGGCCCCGACGTAAGGACGGAAGTGGCTCCTCACCGCGGCTGTCTGCAAGAACACCATTAGGCAGATCAAAATGATTTACTGTCTTCAGCTGTTTCTTTGTTTTCAGGACCCCACCCAAAACACTGTTTTTGGGTAGCACTGAATTACCTGCGGAGATTTTCATGGCAGTGCTGATATAGATTTTGTCTAAGCTGGCATCTGGGGTTGACCCTGGCCCTTCAAACTGTTCTCTTTCCAATAAAGTCCCACTGGCTCCCCCTTTGACTTCTGAAGAACAGCAGGTTTCCACGGGGATCTCATTGCTTCTTTTACTATCACTGCCCTGTTCTGCTTTTATTTGACTAACAGAGGGGAAATATTCAAGGTCAGTGGGAGTAGGCTCAGTATACTCAGAGAGCATTTGCCCACTGGACTGTTTTGTATTTAAAGCCATAAGTGGTTTCTCCTTGTTAGCATGGATAACTTCAGAGACTAGTAAGTCTTCCCCTGTTTCTGGAGCCAGAGAGGTGAGGGTGGCTTTTGAAAGGGTCTTTTTGATCTGTCGCTCCTGAAAGATCTGTTCCCACTTTTTGAGGATCCGTGGACTGGCCTCATAAGAAGTCTGCTTTTGCAGGCTTCTGTTTAGATTGCGGGGTGTTGATTTGATGATCAGGGGACTGAGCACACGACCATCAGGAAGTCTCTTAGGAGGAGTGCATGGTGAACAAACGATAGGTTTGAAATGGTTTAGTTCTTCAGAGATGCTGTCATTGCTTTCAGGGCTGATGGAGCGCTCTGGCTTGTGCAGGGAAGCCAAGGAAGAGAGGGAACTGAAGGGCAGGCGCTTTTCAATAGTTAAGTCCGGGGCTGAGAGGCAGCGATTGTTCTGAGTGGACAACAGAACACCAATGATGGGGTTGGAGGCTGGAGTCATAGTTGTGACCTGAAAGAGATGAAGATCATACGTATGTTAAGTATACATATATTTTCTTCATAATTCCTTCATGATGGAAGGGTAAAATTAAGAAAATGGAAAAAGGGTAATATGAGTCTAAGAAATGGAGGAAAATCCCTGACCTAAAAAGTAGATCATTTAGCAGAAATTCCCCACACACTTGAAACACAAAATAAAATAAAAAATCTGTAGAGAAAACAAGCTCATCTAATGACTTACAACAAAAAGGTTCCTCTACTGGTCATCATTTTCTCCATCTGGCTACTTATTCAAACTCTCTGCTTTCCCATCTGTTTGCAGAATTCTCCAACAAAACTAGCATGCCTAGGACCCATTCTCCCTTTACTCATCTGCAATGGTTTCTGTCATGGCAGTGTGCAGAGGTGAGGGGACAGAACTAGAGCACTCCAGAAGCTGCCTGCACTATACCTTGACTTTGCTAGTTGGTGCTGCTCTGAGTCTGCTCTTCACTCTGTCCTGTGCAGTGTCATTGCAGCTCTGACTCCTCTCCACCTTGGAATTTAGATTCCTAAAAAAGAAAAAATTTTAGCGAAGGAAAAAGAATGACAATCTTTTCTGTGTTTTCAAAGCCTCCCAACAAGAAAGACAATTTCCTTGGGCAGCTACAATAGAAAAAGAGTTAATATAGTAACGAGCACATTAGAGAACAAACCCTGTTAAAAGAGAAATGGTCCCCTAGAGAGGATATTTGGATTAAGCCCTTATTTCCAAATGAGACCCTGCTTAAATGAGGCTTTTTTGCTGGAGCTTAGAGAGATGCAGGATTACTTCACCTCCCTTAATAGGGTGGACACACTGTTAAATCACCTTTACAAACTTTTTTCCCCTCTTACGAGGCCCAAATCTCTCCTCAATCAACCTAAATCAGTCATGAAACAAACACTGAAGTACTTACAATAATGCATCGCAGTAAACTAAATTTTTATGTAGGGGTCAAAATTAAAGATAGCTTCTCCCTTGATTTATCACACTTTGGCTTTTAAAGTCTTAAATCTTGGAGTTTTAGGCCCTCCCTGGTGGCACGGCACATTAAAGCGCAGCACTAAGAAGCTAAAGCCACTTCAGCATGAGTTCAATCCCGGCCCGGAGGTGATCCACATTGGCGCAGCAGACCTCTCCTGACCCGCCCGCTGCTCCCCTCAGCAGTGCACTTCATCCATCTGCCTGATCTGCTCCCCACTCTGTCTCTGGTGAAGCCTCTCCCCACCCCTGCACCTCTAACCTGTACCCCAGTTCTGTATGTATAAATAAGTAAATCTTTAAAAAAAAAATCTTGGAGTTTTAAGAGAATTCAAGAACAAATCATTTTTTTGTCTTCACATATATTATTCATGACTTCATAACCCAAAACTTATCATAGTACCTATAATAAATTATGAATTATGTGTAGGTGAGTGACACCCCACTAAGGGTGACACATTTGATTATCTCATAACTCACCTTTGTCTCCCATTCTCTTGCCTAATATGTATCTGGTAAGAATAATTCTTTTATAAATGTTTGCAACTGATATTTTACCCTCAGAATTCTATTAAACAAGCATTTAATACACACTTACTATGTATTAATAAGTATTATCTAGGCACTGGGAGTACAGAAGAGAGTGAGATATAATCTAGGCATTTACAGAATTACTTCCAATAGGGGAGACAAATGAGTAATTCAATAAAATACAGTGAAAAGGTGTAAAAAAAAAAAAAGCATCCCTAAGAGACAAAATATAGCATAAAAAAGTTTAATTACCTGGGGTAGAGTGAGAGCAAAACTGAAAAAGGCTGCCAGCAGCATATGTATTTTGAAAGATAAATAAGAATTTGCCAGAAGTCAATATGGAGAAATAACCATGCAAATGATCCTAAACAGAAATTATTTCCTTAAACCTATTTAGCTTTGGAAGGAAATACACTGTATCTACTCTCTTAGGCAGCTAAAAAATTTCACTCTGCCAGGATTAGCTCAGAGAAAATTTACAAAGGAGATATAAAGAGGTACATTCCCAGGATGCCTCTCCATGACAGCCAAGACTATCCTACCTCCTCACAAGGCTTCTGTCCCAGGATTTCTGAGTTATTCCTCCCATTCAAAACCTTCTCATCCTATATCTCATGACCATATCACCTAGCTAGATGATGATAACTAGCATATGCTATAATATTAATAGCAGACAGTAGTGACCAACCTACACCATATGACTACAAAACCATGAAAATTCAACAGTGGACCTAGAAAACAATAATGTGGGTTTTGTACTACCCAGTTTGAGATTATTCTGGAGCAGGTATAAAATTTCAACATTATCCCATAAAGTATAAAGAGCAGCTGCTGAGAAGTCAACTGGTTTGTATTTTAGCTAGAACAGTATTAAAATTCATTTGCATTCTCAGAACTCTCACAGACTGTCAATGTGTTAGGTCACTCAGAAGTAAACTAGGATGTAGATGAAAAATGCTGTGAAATATCACACACCTGTGAGAATGGCCTACATTAAAAAAACTGGAAACGGGCCCTCCATGGTAGCACAGAGGGTGAAAGCATAGCACTAAGAAGCTAAAGCCACTTCAGCATGAGTTTGATCCCTGCCCCAGAGGTGATCCACATGGCATGACAGACCCCTCCTGATCTGCCCGTTGCTCCCCTCAGCAGTGTACTTCATCAGTCAGCCTGTTCTGCTCCCTACTCTGTCTCTGGTGAATCCTCTCACTGTCCCTGCACCTCTGGCCTGTACCCCTGTTCTGTATGAAGAAAGAGAGAGAGAGAAAGACTGGAAACAACACATTTTGACGAGCACACAGTAAAGAACATCTGTACAGTTGGCAGCTATGTAAGCTTCTACAGCCTTACTGGAAAAGAGTAGGTAGATTCTCTAGAGAACTAAACAAAGAAATACGGTATGATCTAATAATTCAATATCTGAGTATTTAACTGAATACAAAAACACCAGTTTGAAAAGATACATGCACCCCTTTATCTATTGCAGCGTCGATCACAATAAATAGCCAAGACACAAACACAACACCCATCAGTGGGTCACTGTAGATTAAGAAGTTGTAATACACATGACACAGCAGATCTCTCCCATCCTGCCTGGGGCTCCCCTCAGCAGTGTATTTCAGTCAATCTGTCTGTTCTGTTCCCCACTCTGTCTGTGGTGAATCTTCTCAACCCCCTCCCACCCCACAGACACCTCTGACCTATACCCCAATTCTTGTATGCATAAATAAATAAATCTGTTTCAAAAAAGTTGTGATACGATGGACTAGTGTGGATTATGGGCGTTTTGGTGATGGGTGCAGTGTGGTAACAACACCTGAAGGAGAAGATCTTATACCTCTAAATCATAAACAGTGCTGTAAACAAATGTTAACTCAATCAAATAAGTAGATTTTAAAAACTCAAAGAATTTAAAAGATAAATGAACGCCAGGTTAATACCTCATAGCCAGATGTATCTCAACCACTGTAAGAATATAAGGAGGGTGATGCTGACCTTATAGAATGAGTTGGGAAGTGTTTACTTTAAATTTTTGGAAGAGTATGAGGATTCATGTTAATTCTTTTTTTTTTTTTTAAAGATTTATTTATTTGTGCATACAGAACTGGGGTACAGGCCAGAGGCTCAGGGGCGGTGAGAGGCTTCACCAGAGACAGAGTGGGGAACAGAACAGGCAGATCGACGAAGTACACTGCTGAGGGGAGCAGCGGGCGGGTCAGGAGAGGTCTGCCACACCATGTGGTCACCTCCGGGGCAGGCAGGGATCGAACTCACGTGGAAGTGGCTTTAGATTCTCAGTGCTGTGCTTTAACCCGCTGCGCCACCAGGGAGGGCCTAATTCTTTTTTAAATGTTTGATAAAGCCATTAGTGAAGCCATCTAGTTCTGGATTTTTCTTGTAGGATTTTTTTTTTATTACTGGCTAAACATTTCACTTTTTATAGTTCTGATTAGATTTCTCTTTCTTTTAGAGTCAATTTAGGTGCTTCTAGGAATTTGTCCATTTCATTTAGTTTAATATGTTGGCATAAAATTGTTTATTCTTTATAATCATTTTTATTTTTATAAGGATAAAATGTCCTCACTTTCATTTTGGATCTTAATAATTCAAGTATTCTCCCTTTTTTCTCTTGATCAATCTAGCTAAAGGTTTGCAAATTTTGTCTACCCTTTCAATCAAAAGAACCAACTTTTGGCTTCATTGATTCTCTATTGTTTACCCATTTCAATTAAATGAAATGTATATTTTACTATTTCCTACTTTTGCTTGACTGTGAGTTTAGTTATCTTTCTATTTCCTAAGGCAAAAGGTTAATATTTTTCTTCCTTTTTAATATAGGCTTTTACATCAATAACTTTCCCTCTGAGCATTGATTTTATAACATGTTTTAGCATGCTGGTTTTCATTTTTATTATTCTCAAAATATTTTCTAATTTCTCTTCTAATTTCTTTTTTATTTTCCTTCTTTTTTTCCTGAGCTCTTTTATGACTCCCCCCCCTTTTTTTTTTCAAGAATGTGTTACTTAAATGTCCACATATTTGTGATTTTTCCCATTTTTCTTATGTTACTGGTTTTTAACTTAATTATATTATGGTCCAAAAGGATACTATGTATTACCTACTATTTTTAAAACTTACTGAGATTTGGAAAAAAAAAAAAAACTTACTGAAACTTATTTTATGGCCTAACATATAGCCTGTCATGAAGCATGTTCCACGTACATTTTAGAAGAGTAAGTGTGCCGACATTGTTGTGTAGAATACTCTATATATGTCTGGCAGGTATAGCTGGTATGTCCAGTATTGTTCAAAATTTTTAAGTTCTTGTTTAACTTTCATATGTATGTTTTATGCATTACAAAAAATGGGTGTTAAAGTCTATAATAATGTTAAAATACCTACTATTCCCTTCATTCTGTAAATTTTCATTTCATGTATTTTATGGATCTACTATTAGGTAAGGATGTATAGACAAGTGCATTTTCCTGGCCCTTGTATCATCAGACAATACCCCTCTTTGTAGCTTGTAACAATTATTGTTCAAAAATTTATATTGTTTAATACAGTACAGCTACTTCAGTCCTTTTTGTGTCACTGTTTGTATAGAATATCTTTTTTTATCCTTTCACTTTCAACCTCTTTCTGTATTTGGACCTAAAGTCTCAGCATACATTTGGGTCCTATTTTTAAAATTCACTCTCACAAACTCTGTCTTTTAACTGGAGAATCTAATTCATTTGTATTTATTGAAATTACTGATAAAGAAGGGCTTCTGTCATTCTACTATTTGTTTTCTATATGTTCTATACTTTAAAAATTTTTTCATTAACATCTTCTGTGTTAGATATTTCCTAGTATACATTTTCATTCTCATCTGCTTTCTTTTAATTTGCCTGTAAATTATTTTCTTAATGGCTGCCTGGAGTTTATAATTAACATATTAATTTACAATCTACTTCAAATTATTATCAACTGAAATTTAATAGCAGACAAAAAATTTTGATCCTGTAGAACTTT